GTGGTGTGGCAGCTGGCGAGCCTCGTTCGTTCAGAGCACGATATTTCAGCCACCCCGGAAAGGAGTCGACGTGCGCAGCTCAAGATACGGTGAGAGAAAAAGGAATTTTGTGTGTGTGTGTGTGTGTTTTTTTTTTTTTTACTGCCTTTTGTATACATGCTGTGAATGGGTTGCTTTCTCTCCCTCCACGTTCCACTCTCTGACACATGTACGCACGCAGGCAAGCAAGCACGCACGCACGCAAAACATACATACACACACACACACACACACACACACACACACACACACACACACACACACACACACACACACACACACACACACACACACACACACACGCACACACGCACACACACACACGTTTTTTGGGGTGTTTGCATGCTGACTTTAATGCTTGTTTCACTTGTTTGTTTGTATATTCGGTTACATACATAAATGTTTACTTACCTATCTGCGTTAATGATCATTTGCATCATGTTGATAACGACACTACACGCCAACATGCATGCACACTTATATGTACATAAACAATTATATACATACATTTGCAGGCATGCACATTTTGCGCTATTAAATATGTTTACTTTTTTCTTCTTTCCTTTCTTTCTTTCTCCAGCAGAGAACATGTCTGCACGCGACCATCTCTTTCTGAAGGACACACTAACATGCATCTAATACCATGATGAATACAGGAAATATATGTTGTTTAGTGTTTTGCTTAAGTGGTCAAACACACAGACACGCGCGTACGCGCGCAGACACACACACACACACACACACACACACACACACACACACACACACACACACACACACACACACACACACACACACACACACACACACACTCAGAGAGAGAGAGAGAGAGAGAGAGAGAGAGAGAGAGAGAGAGAGAGAGAGAGAGAGAGAGAGAGAGAGAGAGAGAGAGAGAGAGAGAGAGAGAGAGAGAGAGAGAGAGAGAGAGAGAGAGAGACTTATCCCCGTGTCGTTTTCCAGGATGCTGGAGCGTCTGGCCGAGCGAGGTCTGGAGGCGGCGGAGCGGGAGTTGGCCGCCGAGGAGCTGCTGGCCCGCCTGGACGCGCACACCACGACGGAGTTCCCGCACTTCCGCTTCCACCGCTACCCCATCCCGCAGCCGCTCGAGCGCCGCTCCTCCCTCTCGCCGCAGCTGGAGGAGGCCGCCATGCGCCTCGCCCTGGACCCGACGGAGGCCGAAGTCCCTCCTCCGTTCGTGCCCGTCTTCCCAAGCGACGACGAGGAGGCCGACGAGGCCAAGGTCGAGGCCGCGGAGGAGGCGAGGGACCTGGAGCGAGTGCGCTTGTACCTCCAGGGCGAAGTGGCGCACGGCCGCCAGGAGCTGGCGAGTGCCGGCCTGCTGAAGGCGATGCCTGACGCCACGCGACAGCGCCGCTTTCAGCGAAGCCATCGGAGGGAGGGGAGGAAGAAGAAGCGCGACAGCAAGAAGAAGAAGAGAGAAGATAAGAAAAAGCGGAACAGAAAGCGAGACCGCGAGTACAAGAGACTCATGGAGAGAGAGGACGTCCTCATCACGACGGAGGACGGCGAGCAGTTCTACGACTGTTGTCCGTCCAAGGTGGTCGTGAAGGAGATCAAGGTGGGCAAGGCGCGAGACAACTACGCCATGGACATCTCCGCGTCGCACCAGCTGTTCTACGAGCGCGTGTGCCTGGAGGGCTACGAGGGGAAGGAGTGCGTGTTCCCGCCCCGCACCCTCAGGCGCGACGTCACCACCCGCTGCCACCAGCAGTACTCGTATACGCAGGCCATCGCCCGGCCCTACGAGAGCGACGGCGAATACATGCAGGACTACATCAAGATCCGCTCAGGGTGCTCGTGTCAGATCAGCGTCACGCAGAAGAAGAAGAAAAGGAAGAGGAAGAGATGAGGGTCACTCGGCGCGGGTGAAAGCACTTGCTTGGCCCCACTAGAAGCCCCCGCCAGAGTCCCAGTGCTGTCGCTCCAGTGCCCCAACATGTCGGCCTGGCCGTAGACTATTTCCAATAGATATTTGTTCCGCGCGCCGTCTTTTGGGGGGAATAGACGAACACTTTGATCTTTCAAGAGACGTGGTTATACAAGCAAAAGATATCAAATGGTAGTGTTGGTAAAAACTACAAAAGAGACATACCTTCATATACAACAAGTATTTCATTGGTCTGCATTATAAAATAATAATATATGGACTGTATATGGTTCTCGCAGCTGCGGTTACATGGCAGCAACTGTAGCTGCAGACGAACCTTTTTGTAGGATTTGGCAGGAGTAGGAGTGTTTGTGTCAGTAACATCCTTCGAGGAGGGAAAGATGCCCTCTCCCTGAAGGCGCTCCTTGTGATTAGACGGGGGCCGAAGGATTTTGCTCTTGAGAGAGAGAGAGAGAGAGAGAGAGAGAGAGAGAGAGAGAGAGAGAGAGAGAGAGAGAGAGAGAGAGAGAGAGAGAGAGAGAGAGAGAGAGAAAGGGAGAGCAGACGAGGAAG